ACACACACACACACACACACACACACACACACACACACACACACACAGAGGCTCCCACTTTCTATCAAACACTGGACTTGAGAATAAGCATTGTGTAATTGTGTACTAGGCCCTGTTGATATCAAGTTCAACCAAATGCTAAGTCGGTTCCCTCTCCTGGAGAAAACAGCCAGAATGACCACAGATATACCAAAGCAGACACACACTGCCAGACCTCAGGGGAATGAATCATCAGCTTGGACTCAAGAGGAGCAAAAGAGAGATACTGCAGCTCTGCCCTGGAGGTCAAGCAGGACAGATGGACAAGGCAGGTGATAACTCCAGTCGAGAACAACATGTACAAGGACACAGAGCCGTGGAAGTGGACAGCACACTTCTGTAAGGCCAACAGCTCAGTGAGGCTGGAGAGCAGACTGGGGAGAGGAGGGAGGGGCTGCACAGAGATCCACGTGAACAGGGTGCCTAGGCTTCTGGCCGGTATACCTGGATATGATGCAATGCTAGCTGACTTTCAAAACAAGCATGGAAAGCAGCCTAGAAGTCCTGAGCCCGCAACAAGGGCAGGGAGCGCAGAGCCTGGGCTCTCCAGTGCTGTGCCCAGCAGAACCTTTTTTGAAAGAAGCATAACGAAAAAACAAAACAAAACAAACCACTCAGAGCATGGGACAAAGGTTGGTCTACCTTTCAGACGGTGGGTGTAGAGATGAAGGGAAAGAAACCTTTCAAAAGATACCCCTGGGGCTGGAGGGTGGGTGTAGCTAAATGGCTAGTATGAGTGAGACCCTGGGTTCCATCCCCGGTACTAGAGACAGAGCCTGGCAGATCTCTGAGAGTTTAAAGCTAGTCTGATCTACATTTCAAGTTTCTAGCCAGCCAGGGATAGGAACCCTGCCTCAAATCAAAACAAAATGCAAGCCCAACAGCAACAGAACAAAACACCCTCCACCTTGGACAAAAACAAAAACAGAGGTGAAAACAGTCCTGACCAAGTGAGAGGCAGCACTAAGTTTTAGTTAGAGCCAAAATGAAGGAAGGAAATATATTTAACCTTCAGACCATGGCGGCAGAAGCACAGTGGGCCTCCACGATCTGAGCTCCAAAGTTTGCGAGCTGCACGATACGTGTTAAGGTTGGGCCAGTGTGGAAGGACATACAGAAGAATAAACCCAGCTTGACCTCCAAGAGCTGAGCCTGCAGGCGAGCGCAGGGAAACATGATCACAGCCAACATGAGGTAGGCTCTGGGACAGAGGCCCAGGGGCTAAGATGGGGCAGGGCAGGGTGAAGGAGGCAGGGTCTCCTGGAGATGAGGCCCCTGAAGAAGCACCTGTTGAGCTAAAGATCTAGATGAGTGGTTCTCAACCTTCCTAACGCTGCCATCCTTTTCATACAGTTTCTCAATCTGTGGTGATCGCCCACCATAAAATGATTCTTGTTGCTGTTTCATAGCTGTAACTTTGCTATTTTTTTTTTTTTTGAATGGTAAGGTCTAGATCTGATATGTGACATGCAAAGGGGCCGTGACCATTTTACTGGCGCTCGCACACGCACATGTCCCAGAAAAATCTCCTGATCCATTTCTGAAAACCATGTTGCAAGGTCAGGTCATCCTAACACCCTAGTAGGCAAATATATATATATATATATATATATATATATATATATATATATATATATATATTTTTTTTTTTTTTGTTTTTTTTCTGTTATCTTAACCTTTTAGCCAGTGTCAGGCACAGTTGATCAGTCCAACATATATTCCCTCTCTGACAGCTGCCACATAGTGGCCGTGTTGGCTGCTCTTTCCCAGTCTTCCTTGCTGGCTCATGCTTTTCTACCCATCAGCCCAGAGATGGTGGCACACGCTAGCGCTTGCTTTTTTCTCAGCTACTTCACTAGCCACATTCTCTCCTTCCAACAATTTCATCCATTACCATAGCTTTAAATCAAACCAAGCCAAACCAAACCAAACCAAACCAAACCAACCAAACAAGCCAGGTGGTGATGGGGTACACCTTAACCAAGCTAGCCTGATCTACAGAGCAAGTTCCAGCACAGCCAGGGCTACGTAGTGAATCTCTGTCTTGAAAAACCATAACCCCCCAAACAAGCAAACAAACCAAAACCCAAAACAACAAGATAAAACAAAACTCAGTCATAACACAAAAAGTATGATGCTGACAATTTCCACCAGTTGCCTGTAGGCCAGAAATTTGGTTTTTCCATCTGAACAGCCCACACTTCAAACTTTACAGGGTTCTAAAATGCTCTGGGCCCCTCCCTTCTTCCTCCTGGAGAGGTCTGGCAGAAAAGGATGGGGGCTGAGAGTGCCTTTAAGGAGTCACAGTATAGAGGGCATTTGGCTC